TATATATATATATATATATATATATATACAGTATACACACACACAATAATTATGATTTAAGCAGCTTTATATTTCATATAATATTAATAAATTATTTTTGAATGTTTTTTGCATTTCTTCTCATAAACCCTACGAAATTGGCCCCATTTACTTCTAGTGCCTCATTATAATGCTGATTTTATCTTTTTAAGTAATTCATTTTTTATGGTGGTGCTAGTGGCATATATTTTGTAGTAATCAACATCTGTCGATTAAGCTTAACTTGTGTTTAACACACTCACATTTTCTTTCGAAAATATCCAAATCTACACTGTAAAAAAAAATCTGTAAAATATACGGTAAAAAAACGGCAGCAGTGGTTGCCGGAATTTTACCGTAAAAAAATACGGTAGCTTTCTGAAAAAGGGAGCTAAAAAATAAATGTTACCGGAGACAAAGTGCTGACTGCACAATCTGGAGTTAGAGGTTGGCTGCCAGTGGTCCCTTCTGATTAACGCCAACCATTTATTCCGCCGATCTAACTCCTTTGGGATTGAGTAAAATTGTAGTTCGGGGTTTCTCTGACGACTGTTGTTACACCCAACAGCACAACATATACCGGGCATGTTGTAATTTTTGTGATCCTTCTGTGAGTGCTTCTTTAATCCTTCTCTGACAGCTGTAATCATAGGCTTAAAACAGGTAGCGCAGCTGTGACCGGACACAAAAATGGCGGCGATAAAACACAGTGACGTCACATGGAATCTATGGATACACTGATAACCACCAAATGCAGGTGGCGATGAGAAAGTCACATGATGAACCAAAGCCCATCACAAGCAGCTTTTAAATAATAACATATATAGAAGGTGCACAGTGTCATTCACACAAACACTAAACACCTTCATGTAACACACATGAAACTGAAATAATGCAATAAATTTCAGTTTTTGTCATTTTTGTCAGTTTTATAATTTAATTGAACAACATTAGGTGTAACACACAACCCTAATATACAAAACTGATAAGAAAAAACTAAGAAACATAGTTATTTCAACAAAAAACATCCAATTTGAAATGTAACACTGGGAATTCTGGGAATGTCAATTTACGGTTATTCACTGTAAATTATACGGTCTTTTTTCACTTACAAAAACGGTATACTACCGTAAAATGAATGCCCAATACAGTTTTTCACCGTATATAGTAGAGGAATTTACCGTTAACCATTTAACCGGTTTTTACTGTAGCTTTTTTACAGTCTTTTACCGTTAAATTCACCGTCATTTTTTACAGTGTAGTTTATTTGGGTTTTTATGTGACATTTTGATTTTTTTGTCACCCAATGAAATGGTGAACTGCTTTCTGGCCACTCTCAGTCTCTTTCTCTCTAATCGGCCCTTCATTCAGCAGCCGCTGAGCTTTAAATAAAGAGCTGATCAGATCATACGATGAGGTCAGTGGGACAGAGCGGAGGGAGGTGGGGGCTCGTCTGTATTGATCTGCTGTCTGTTAGACTTGTTCTGCCGTCTAAACATTATTGATTGCACTGTCCTCAAACACAAGCTCCCTGTTCAATTTTCATTTGAAAGCTATTTGTTCCTCTTTAGAAAGGCTTTAGTCCACTTGTAAGTCAATACACATGAAAGAAAAAGATAGTAACACATTGTTTTACACCATTTGCTGCATATGTGTGTCTCTGTGTGTGAGTATATCTGTCTGAGCTTCAAAGAGAGTCGATGAATATGTTTTAAAAGAGCACTGAAGCCATAAGCCATTTAATTGTTATTATGAAATTATTCAACCAGTAAAATATATGTATTTGTACAATATAGAAGGGTTGTCATCTATTTAATAGAAATAAAAATTATATGAAATAATTATATTATATGATCTATGAAATAATGATATAAATGATATAAAATGAAATAATATATGAAATATAAATTATAATATATGAAATAATTCTTATATTAATTTTTATAATATAGCCTCTGTGGCTAGCAATATTTTAGATGGTATTATTGCAGTCACCCTCTGCTGGTACAATCACTTAACTGCACTTTTTTTGTCTCCGCAAAACACTTCAAATATCAAAGCTAAAAAAGCTGTGAAATTGCAAACCAGCAAGCAATAAATAAATTATAAAATTAAAACAAATAATAATATAATTTATTCCTATGAAGCAAAGCTGTATTTTCAGCATCATTACTCCAGTCTTCAGTGTCACATGATCCTTCAGAAATCATTCTAATATGCAGATTTATAATAAAATTTGGAAACAGTTGTGCTGCTTAATATTTTTTTGGGACCTGTGATATTTTTTCAGGATTCTTAGATACAGTGTTTTTTCAAAATAGAAATGTTGTGTTACAATATACACTACTATTCAAAAGTCAGTGTTTTTTACATTTTTTTAAAGAAATTAATACTTTTATTCAGCAAGAATAAATTAAATGGATAAAAAGTGATAGTAAAGACTTATATTTTTAGAAAAGATTTATATTTTGAATAAATGCTGTTCTTTTTAACTTTTTATTAATCAAAGAATCAAAGAAAAAAGTATCACAGGTTCCAAAAAAATAAAAAAAAATATTAAGCAGCACAACAGCTTCAACACTGATAATAAATCAGCATATTAGAATGATTTCTGAAGGATAATGTGACACTTTATACTGGAGTAATGATGCTGAAAATGCAGCTTTGCTTCACGGGAATAAATTATATTTTAAAGTATATTAATTATGCCTTAAAGCAAGACGCTACAGGTGAGTAGGGTAAATTTTTTTTTTATTAATATAGATATTGCCATACTTTCCCCAGTTTATTAATCACAGTAAATTAAGATAATTGTGTTACAATTGTTCTGAAAAATTATGTTTAATTATGCAAATTATGCATTTCTGAAATGTTATGTTTAAATATGCAAACGAGGCCTGTGTCTAATTAAATATGAACTAATTTGCATACATTTCCTGAACAGAAACCTGCATATTGGATAAAGCAGAGATGGTTTTGGATATCTCTTTTTATCATCCCACAAATCAGAAAATAATGTCAACAGCCAGAAAAAAATACATTTCATCATGTTTTAGGCTTGAACCCCTCCGTAAATCCTTCATAATTTAGATAGGAATAAAACTGTAAAGTCTGTTGTATGCTTTAACGATATGTTAAAGCAGTTAGTTTTAGTTTCAGTTAACTAATAACTCTAGTTATACTTTAATGTTAATATACTAATTAATATCACTATTTTTTATAATCTATCTTATCTATCGTATCTATGCTTATTCTATGCTGAAATGTGTATCACGTGTCATATAAAACAATATTTGGATAATAATTTGAATTTACTAGGATGAATGTTTTATTATTAACTAACCATCAGAAAGTACTGTCTTTATGTAACCTTAGTTTCCATTCACACAGAGTGCATTTTTCTTGAGACTTGAGACACGTTTTTTGAAAGTTGAACTTATTTAAACATGAGCGCTGTGGGTTTTTTTTTTTAACGTTGTGTCATGTGCAAGACACTGCAAGAGATGCAAGGTGTAATTGTAACGGTCAAAAACTACCATCTAATGAGTTCACATAATGTAGAAAAGCAATAGAAAAGTTGTGCAGTTGGATGCAAAAATTGTGTTCTGAGTGAACGGTCCCTAAGACTGTATGTTGCCATTTTAAATGATCAAAGTGCTTTTATGATGTGGTATTGACAGATTGACTGGGCCGTGAACATTCGGAAATCATGGTACTTCAGTGAGGAAGGAGCTCTGGCCAGTCTTGAGGCCTTCCTGCAAAATGGTAAGACATATTTACAGGCTGCATGTTTTAATATAGCAGCATTACAAGCCCATCCATCATTTTGCATTCATCAATTGACTTCACTATAGGTGTGTACCGTTATGAGTAGGAGTCAAGTCGTGCGGATGAGCCCAACACCAGCTCTCTATCCCCATATTTGCACTTTGGGCAGCTGAGTGCACGCAGCCTATTATGGGACGCCCGTGGAGCTCGCTGCAGACCTGGCATACTGGCAGCTGTGCCTTTTCCCAGACCTGCCCTGGGAGTCCCTCAGGCCACCGTACAAGGCAAGATTCATATTTATAGCACCGTCCTGCTTCATATTTGCTGACTGAAATCCAATATTGGTTTCTTAATAATTTAGGGCTGCTGATTTCAAAAATCACACTTTCTCACAAAATGTGATGCATTTCATAACATTTTTGCTTTCGACAACCATTTGTAAGGTGAAGAAGTCTTGTATTATCCCTTAATCAGCAGAAAAACCGCCACAAAGACATGATTCCATTAAGAATGGGATTTTGGCTTCAAACCATGTTACTTGCTGAGGAGAGAAGTGCTATTACTTGATCAGATATATGATTTTTGCCAGTCTTTGCCAGGATAATAAAACAGGCACCCACAACATCCTAGAAACTTAGCGGCATCGATTATTGTTACATGTTACATTTGCAATTACATTTGCATACTCCCATGTGCAGGCTCTGCGTTGAAGTTCAGACCCTGTCCATCTGAAGGCATGGCAGCGTGGAAGGACAGGATACCCGCTGGAAGATGCAGCAATGAGACAGCTGTGGCAAACTGACTGGATGAACAATTACATGAGACACGTGGTGGCCTCCTTCCTCATCGCTTATCTGCATATTCCCTGGCAGGACGGATACCGCTGGTTTCAAGTGAGACATGCAGAAGACACTAAATCCTTATTCTTATCATTATTTAGTGATTTTTTTTTCTTGCAATTGCGAGTTTGTATGTCAGAATTCTGAATTTTTCCTTATAATTGTAAGTTTATGTTTTGTAATTGCGTTTATTATTTCTGAGAAAAATCAGAATTGTGAGATGTGACCTTTTAATAGTGATAAAATAAGTGAACTTTTAATAAAAAAGTCTTAATTGCAAGATGTAAATGAGTTTATAACTTGCTGTTTTGTGATTATAAACTTGCAATTCAGAGATATAAACACGCAATTCTGAGAAAAGAAGTTAAAACTGTGAGGAAAAAATGTCCGAATTGTGAGATAAAAATTGTAATCATTTTTTTTATTTTTGGCCAAAATAAGCTTTCATAAAAACGCGATGCTACAGCTAATGCAAAACCTCTAACCATGGGTGCTTTCACACCGGAGGAACCTTTTCATAGTTCCTAGAATTATTGGCGGAAGTTCCCGGTTTTTGGTGTGTTCACACCGCAGGAACGTATTTAGTTCTAGGAACTTCGTTTGGAGGAACTAAATTAGCTCCTACTTCAGAGTAGGGTCTAAAACAGTTCTATAGTAACTACCAGGGATGTATGTGTACACTGATTGGCCAAACGCATACAAAACACCGGCTACCCGGCATTTTTAAAAAGCCTTGTAAAAATCATAGAGCTAAACAAAAAAAAGAAGTGTAATATTTTTCCACATTAAATAATCCAATAGCTCTCACTTGGGAGTGGGCTATTTTGACTTTTTATCCAGTAAGAAACCCCCTAGCAACCAGTCAAAGTACCCTAGAAACCAAATAGCAACACCCTGGCAACCATCTGCAACACAGAAGCATTGTGCCACCGAGTTCAGCATTCAGACACTGGCTTTCTGGTTTGTTGATAGAGAATGTGTCGACTTTATCAGAAATTACTTGTAAAACACGGCATCTCAACACTCTTTCTCCATTTTGCAGGACACGGTGGTAGATGCTGATGTTGCCATAGATGCCATGATGTGGCAGAATGGAGGAATGTGTGGACTGGATCACTGGAACTTCTTAATGCACCCTGTTGATGCAGCGCTGACCTGTGACCCCTATGGCATCTTTGTGCGACAGTGGTGTCCTGAACTGAAAGCACTTCCTGATAACCTCATCCATAAGCCCTGGAAGTGCCCAGCATCAATGCTGCGTAGAGCAGGTTTGTTACACTATGTAATATGTTCATGGTTATCGTGGACTGAAACAGATTAAATGAGATACACTGCTAATATCACATGCAAATGCTTCAAAGTCATTTTAGAGTTTCATATTTGTAGTGGTCAAATAACTGAAAATGCACAAGAATCCAGCAAAAATGCTGGTCAATTTCCAATTAAGGGTTCGTTGATATACCGATAAACCGGTAGAAATTTGACAACCATTTCTATGTGCCATTGTAGTGTGGCACCGTTACAATTTTTTTTCTTTTAATGCTTATTAAGCTCTGCCCATTTGAACAGTCAAGTGATTTTTAGCAGTTTTGGCTTGATACACAAAAGACAATTCAGCTAGCACACTGTTCTAAGACGGTTTTCTGTGTGCACATGTACATAAAGTCGCTGGTGAATAGATAGCATGTGAATACAGAGTTGTTGTTTTTTTTTTGCATTTTATTGCAGTTAAAAGGTGATGAATATGTTTAAAAAGTCCTTTAAAAATGATTTTAAGCATGCAAATAGACACAAAAGAGAACTGTGTTCACACACTGTTTTGAAGGACACCCAAGTGCAAGCACTTAAAGCCCCCTGACAGTATGTGAGTACTGAATTGCAGTGTTTTTCACAATTTATTGCACTAAATCGGACAATTACAATTAAATTTTGTCTTGGTGACTTGGTGTGTATTCACTAGCACAGTAAATTACACATAACGTTATGTTATTTCCAGCAAAAATAACTATTGTCAAATAAATTACTCATATTGCAATATAGGATTTTGGTTATATTATCCACCAGTATTCCCAATAAAATCAAGTTCCATACCTTTTTTTATCACTTGGAAAGACATCACATTATGGAGATAAAATGGGTTGGCTTTAATTAAAAACAAAATCACAATTATCTCATCTATCGCTTTCTGTTCACAGGTGTGGTTTTAGGCAGCAACTACCCAGAACGGATCATTATTGACCTTGATGAGCGACGTGCACAGTCTCTACAGGATGTTGCGTCAGTGAGAAGGCATTTTTGGGAGTTTGTAGACCAGCGATCAGGCTGTGACATGGTACCTGTTCCTGCAAGGCTGGTGCAGGAAGCTCTGGGCAGTATGGAGGATGTTGTGAGTCGTGAAGGAACTGGGTTTCTCCTCCCAGTAATCACCCGCATGGAGTTTAAACACCACTCAGAGGATCCAGACAGGCAAGATAACCCGTATAGACTGGTGTCTTCTGGAGGGTTTGCCTCAACCCAGTCTTGCGCGGCCGGGCCAGACGTACCCCAACCAGAGACAGGTGTCACTGTTCCCCACAGATAACAGACTGACATGTCAAGGCTGGAATACACTACACGACTTTGCACAGATTTGCAGGATGAGGCAACTCCAGTCAGTCAGTCTGCACATTTTCGGTTGTCGGAGTTGATTTCGCACATATTCATGTAGTGTATTATTGGCACAGACTCAGATTTTTTAGCTTCAGACTTTGATCTAGGCTGAGGAAATCAAGCACGTTTGATATTTTGAGCCAGATTTAAAAACCCATTAGCTGCGTCTGAAATCGCATACTAGTCTATAGGTACTACAATTGGTTTGACATTTACTTCACAAGCTCTGAAAAAGTATGTTGTATATAGAATATGGGTGGTATGAATCCCCCATGTTGTCATTGTCACATGACCTACCAGTGTCAGCTGGGTCGCTTCACTGCCATTCACAAATCCTCTCCTGTGGCCTCATGGGATACTAAAGTGTCCATCAGATGTGCACTCCACAATGGCTGCATTCCACTTTGCTTTTAGACACACACTTCCCTAAGCATGTTGTCCAGTTTTTATCTTTAACTGATTAATAACTACATCTGCTCAGAATTTAAGTTGTGTAGTGTATTCCATCCCTTAGTGCCTTTAACTTTTAACAAACATTTGACAGACTTTGGTAAAAAAAAAGATGTAATACAAATAACTTGTATAAGACAGTATTTTGTAATTAGATGTACTTTTATTATTGCTTATGTGTTTATATAATGTCTCGTTACTTTTCAAAGTTATCAGACTTAAGGTTTTTACCTGGTAGATATGAGTCAAAAATCTTATTCTTTTATTACATCTAGAGGTCAGAATAACAGACTTTGGACACTATTTTGACTTTTAAGCAGCTATGTTTGGAAGCAAGTATGGTCAGTTTTTCATGTTGACTATAAATGCAGCATGAGTAAATTTCTTCTTGTACAAACGAACACATCCATCATGGTGTTGGAAATTTGACATATTTATGACTCGTTTTGTTTTCTTTAATGGTACTTTATAAAATAACTTAAAATAATTCATTTGCAGACATTGGGTTCATTTTGTAAATTAGAGGCACATTTGGCATCAAAAAGCAAGATGTCTAAAATAGTTTAAATAGTGGTTTAATGTTAATTAATGTTAAACACTTTAACTCAGTTATGAGTCCTCAAAACTAACATTTCACCAGGTTTCATAGCTGTCCTCAGACTGGACATTGGGTGTCATTCATACTTCCACACTTTATTTGTAGCTTATTCAGAGCAATGACAACATTTTTCAGGAACAGTGTAACATCTACAAAAGAGATGAAACCGTTACATAGGCTGTGTCTCTGTGGCTACATACAGTAACTGGCTCAATCCAACCAGGTATGCTTGTTGTTTTTCAAGCGAAGTGCATAATGTTGTGTCTATGTGGTCCCCTCCAGTGGCTGGGTATGGTTGGATGGGAAAATGTAATTTAGGAGAACATCTAAACTAAATCAACTACTATAAACATTCCTAAATTGATTGTTTTTAAATTATCCCCTATATGCAACATGCCAGCAGCACACTCTAGTCCTCTATAGATTTGATGTATCTCTCATAAGCAGCTTCATCCATCAGTCCATCCAATTCCTCAGGAACAGATACGGTCATCTTCATCAGCCAGCCTGTGAACAAAACACACAATTTTTTTTTTAAATAACTATTACTTAAATCTGATCACAAGACTTAAATGTACTCACCCTCAGGCCATACAAGATGTAGATGAGGTTTTTTTTTTCATCTGAACAGATTTGGAGAAATTTAGCATTACATTACTTGATCACCAATGGGTCCTCTGCAGTGAATGGGTGCCATCAGAATGAAAGTCCAAACAGCTAATTAAAACAACAAAATAATTCACAAGTAATCCACATGACTCCAGTCTATCGATTAATATCGGAAGGCTAGAATCAAGCTTCATGTTTATAAAAAACAAATCCATCAAGACCAAAAAATAACAAATCAGGAGAGAAATATGCACCTTTGGATTTTGATGTGAGAGGACAACAGGTGATGGACTTTTTCCCTGCAGGAGCGTTATAATGGATTATGGACTCCTATTTTAGATTTAAAATGATAATATCTTAATTATTGATTTGTTTCTAACAAATATGCAGCTTTTTGCTTCACAAGACTGATGGACTGGAGAAGTGTGGATTATTGTGATGTTTTTATCAGCTGTTTGGACTCTCATTCTGACGGCACCCATTCACTGCAGAGGATCCATTAGTGAGCAAGTGATGTAATGCTACATTTCTCCAAATCTGTTCTAATGAAGAACTCATCTAAATCTTGGATGGCTTGAGGGTGGGTTCATCTTCATTTTTGGGTGAACTATTCCAGGCCAGTTTGAGTCCAAAAGAGTTTGAAGTAATGTCTCACCGTCTTTATAGCAAGATTTGTTGACCAGTCCTGGGTTGTCTGCCAAGGCATCATTGACATCTGTCACCTCCCCCGTCAGAGGAGAGTACAACTCACTTGCTGCTTTAACACTCTCCAGAGCACCAAATTCATCTACGGTACAGATGCCAGTAAATAAGCAAACAAAATAATAATTAATCATAATATTTGCTTGATTTACTACTAACAAATAACTGTATTTTGTTATAAATAGCTGTATCCTACTGTGAATGTGCTCTTTACAGAACAAGTTTTTCAAAAGCAGTATTCTCCAGAGAAAGAATAGTTACCAGACTGTGATAACTTTGTACCAACTTCAGGGAGCCCACAGTAGACCACGTCCCCCAATGCCTCCTGAAAACATTATAAACCCATGACAACACATCTAATATAGTCCAAAAAACACCTCTTCCTATAAAAATGTAGCTTTAATAATAACCAGTCTAACCTGTGCAAAATTACTGATGCCCACTGTTGCCACACCACTGTCCACGCGAACCCACTCGTGTTTGTCTGTGAACTTCAGTGCTGCAGAATGAGCGAAAGGGTAAAACAGCGTAGAGTAACGGTGCACGTAAATATGCAATCAAATGTTCATGTAATGTGCAATGTTCATTCTGAGTTTATCACTACCATAGCATTTGAAAATGACTGCAACATCAGTGCACAGATACAGATCTAAACTTTCACGCGAGTCGCCTGTAAACATCCATAAGTTCGAATACCTGCGCAAAATCGAGTGGTGGTGCTCAGGGCTCTTATATAACATGTCCTCGCCAGCAGTCTAGCTGGAATCAGAGCGTTTCTGTTTGACAGTCGAGGCAGCGAGGAGGTCAAACTAACAGAAGCACATCGTAATATTGTGCACATCGCCATTATTCCCCGTACGCAAACATTAATGGACGCCGGCGCGCCTCGATGATGTCATTATTCGAATGGCCTGTGCAGTGTTGCCAACTTAGCAATTTATAGCAACTTTTCAGACTACCCTAGCAACTTTTTCTTCCAAAAGCACCTAGCAACAAATTTAGCAATTTTAAACATTTATTTGGCAACTTTTAGCAACCTTTGATAAGGACTCAGACAATAAAAAGGCACACATTGTCCATCCAAATTACACAAAAAGAGGAAACCACAGATGCCTAGCAGTACACACATCACGAGAATTGAGTTAGCTGCTATTTGCAATTGTTCAATTTAATAATAATAATAATTGAATAATACATGTTATTTAGATTGCAATTAGATTGTATAATTTCGAAATTTGAAGCAAAAACAGAATGGTTTGATTTTAGCTTTGTGAATGAGACGCAAATGTCACTCTCTGACAGCAGGTGGCGCTTATGGAACAGCAGGTGTTTATAGGCTGCTGCCCCTTTAAGACCGAATGCACGGATCCAATATAATGATGCACAGGAGATTTCTTTCTCCACTATTTACGTTCACTTAAGACATAACCGACTGTGTTTACGAGAATACTTGCCGAGATAATTTTGTGTGTGTGTTCATTCAGATGCAAGGATATGCGAAAGAGAAATCAATTCTGTGTACGCGCATTCAGTGTTGCCAACTTAGCAATTTTGTTGCTAAATTTAGCAACTTTTCAGACTACCCTAGCAACTTTTTCTTCCAAAAGCACCTAGCAACAAATTTAGCAATTTTAAACATTTATTTGGGAACTTTTAGCAATTTTTGATAAGGACTCAGACAATAAAAAGGCACACATTGTCCATCCAAATTACACAAAAAGAGGAAACCACAGATGCCTAGCAGTACACACATCACGAGAATTGAGTTAGCTGCTATTTGCAATTGTTCAATTTAATAATAATAATAATTGAATAATTGAATAATTGTTCATTTATGATACACTTTGTTAGTAGCTTGTACCTGCGATTGTTGATCAGTTAGTACACTGTAAAAAAAATTGAAAATCTTTCAGGACATTATCCATTATCCATCATCCTTTGTAACCCTGTAACCCGAAAACACAATGCGTAATTTAAAATACAGGTAAAAAAAACCATTACGGAAAATTCTTTCATATTAACATAGTAGATTGTGCCTTATTTTTACAGACTTTTCTTAGAGTGTAGCATACTAACTAACTACTAATACACTGCTTAAAGCATAATTGTTGAGAATGTGTAGAGTTTACTAGCTACTAAAAAAACTTAAATTGTAATCATTCAAAAATGTGTAAGTTTTCAATAATTCAGTGTATTTAAAAATACAGTTATTTATATTTTAATATTATATAATGCATATTATTTTAAAAACAAATCTAAATTAACACATATAAAATATATTTTTTGCTGAGATTTGATGATGTGACAATTTTGCGTCGTGATTACACAATGACGTCATTGAGCAATGACATCACAACGTCATTTAGCAACTTTTAGCAACAAATCGACCTTCCTTTAGCAACTTTCTCTGAAAATGAGTTGGCAACACTGGGCCTATGCGCGCCAAAGCAGTGCTTGTTTGGGTTGGAGGGAAAATGTATCTTGTGAATAATTTGTCTTATATATGTCTATATCTATGTCTATAACCGGATAGTTGAAAAATAACGGGCATTATCTTTTTAGGCAACAACATCAGGATTTTGCGTCAAGTTTATGTATATTTATAGGCCTGGTGTAAAGTGTATATTTCTATATTTTGTAACTGGGTACTATTTTAATCACATTTTGCTTTTGTTAAATTCACATAATAAATCCTTTTAGTACAAATAATCCATGTAGCCTCTTAATTATATATGATATCATAAAACTAGCCTACATATTAATGTTAACAAACATTTATAATAAAAAAAAAAACAAATATTTTTTAAATAGCATCATTTCCTAATTAAGTATGTACTTAAGCATGTCACACTGCTTAAGGAAGTAAACAGATTTTGACAAATTTGTAGCCATAGCTAAAGAAATTATTTTTTACTTCAGTCGGCCTACCTATTTATCACAGGATTCATATAATGCAGAGAAAGTTTTCTGAAAGATTGATGAATCTGTATTACAATATACAGTAAGTCACACAGTTGACCTGCTTGTTTAAGTCGTTTAGTGGATGTTTATTTTTTTAATAACAGCAGGAAATATATTTGGGCTGGAATAAATGAGTTCACAGTGAGCAGTATAGCCTATCCAAAAAAATAAAAAATAAAAAAACTTAAATAGTTGAAACTCTTAAATAGGCGCCAAAGGCATTTTGCGCGAGACGGATAAAGTTACAATGACAGAAATGTCCTTAAAATGTCGAACCTTTGAAAATTATTAAATAATTTGTAATATAATTTTAATAACCACAAAACTTTACGTTCAAAGATTACGTTTAGCGCAGTAAATAGACGCTCGCGAACAAAACCATAGCAACAGCAGGCTGCTCGAGCGCTTTCTTTCAGTGAGGATCCGTAACAGACGAAAGTAAGCAACTTTACTATCATTAATATTTATGTAGCATATTTCTGTATCGCAAGTATATCACAAACAAAGTGTTTGTTTATCAAAAGACGGGCACTACGGTTGGACAAGTCTCGAGACTGAAACCCCAAACCCCCTGCTCCCCCCTTGAAAGTCACTGAATGACTTTGAAAGGTAACTTAACGTTAGCGCAGTGGTTTCATGTTTAGCTAACATTTGTAGGTGTGATATTTGCAACCGGTAATTTATCACCATTGTGACACTGAGCAAGACGATACCACAATACTAGATTAAAATATGAAAAATATAAATAATCATATCCATTGACTGTGCTGTAAACTGTCATTGTGGAGTGAAATTAAACTTGTGTTCAGAGTACTTCTCCTGTGACTGGGATATCATCTGATCTGTATGTAGGTAGATGATGAGTTACCTGTTACCTGCGCGCAGGTGCGCTCCGTCCTCCTGATGCCGCAGAACGCGCAGTACATCATCCTCCTCTGACTGTACAGAAGATGGACGTTTATCCTTCACTACTCTGGGACAAATCACTTTAGTTTGTTAATCGTGCCTCAGAGATTTTAACTTGATTAATCCTATGAGAATCTTTTTCTGAAGGAGAATTTCAATCGATCCTCCTAAAATGATGAAACTCGTAATTTCTTGATCGTTGAAGGACGCCCGTCGACTGAGATGAACGAACAGCGGGACATTCAACTGTTTTCACTCTGTACACTTTTCATTTTCAAGCTATTTGTGCTTCAAGGTAAGTCTAATTTAAATTTGGAATAATTTAGAATTTTAGATTTTTATGAATTAATAATGTACACATTGCCCTTATAAAATCTACTATGGTACCATAGTTTTCCTGAAATACCTTCTTTTTTTTCCTACTACAGTTAAATTGTGGTAATATTGTTTTAGTCATAATACATTCAACAAAATAACAAAAACATTTTAAAAACGTAGAGATCCCATATTAATTTATAAATGGTATTTTGACAAAAAAAAAAAAGTTTAAAATGGTACAATTCTTTAGGGGGTTTTCACTCTCAGATGAAAAGGTACAAAAGCTGTCACTGTGGCGGTACCTTTTCAAAAGGTGCACTTTTGAAGATACTAATATACACTTTAGGTACTAATGTGTTCCTTTAAGGTACCAATATGGACTTTTTAGGTACAAATGTGTACCTTCTAAAGAGATACCGCCCCAGTGACAGCTTTTGTACCATTTTTTTTTAGAGTGTTGTTTGCTATATTGGATGTCATTTATGTAATCTCTGAATTAATTAATTATGTAAATCTATCTTAAGATGTGAAAAACTTAAAAAAAATAAGCATTCAAAACTTTTTGAGTGTACTAAGCATAATAGACTTTTATGTACTTATACAAGAATTTACTAAAAAGTTTTGTTTTGATCCTATGCTGTATTTACAGACTAAAAGATACGTTTATAAATATGCATGAGTTTTGTTTATATAATTTTGCTTTTGACAGGATTTATTTGCCAGGAATCAAACTCAGAAAATAAACTGCCCAGGTATGTGGTTGAATCCAACTTCTTGTTCTGATGCTGTTGACTTTGTGATGCTGATGGCTAGGTGTATGATCATAATGTTTTTAGATTTTTAACATGTTGAGCATAGATTGCAGTTTGATTATACCTTTAAAAACTGGTGAACCCTATCAAACATCCGCTATAACAAGGAGGTTTTGAGCAGAGAGACAGTGTCAAGTTCTACATGCAATCACTGATAAGATGTTAAGTGTTTGGTCTAATGTTTTGCAGTAACCATTAAACCAGTTCCTTGAGAATCATGCAGTCCATCAGCGTGACTGTGACTGTGACTGCATGGCATCTTAAGTGTTTCTGAACCTTTAGTCTCACAGTCGCCGCACTTTTAATACTGCTCTCTTTGTGCCACTTTTAAAAGGAGGGTTAATGCACTGCGGCAGAAACGGGATCTCTTCCGTGAAGAGGTGAGTATACCTAAGAGAAAGCGACAACCACACACACACACACACTCACAAATACTGAGATACACTCTCAGTGCTGACAAAGCTGTCTTTGTGGAGTTTACACAAATGCTACAGCCACTGAAAGCTCCACTCCCAAATGTCTGCAGTGGCAAAACCATGTGAAGGAATGCCAAGACAGGTTCACCAACATGGCTTAGTGGCTAGACATGGTACTGTTGCCACTATAAGCCAATAGACCCAAGCACTTGGCAAATTCTTAGTACTGTTTTTTTTTTGCTCTGCAGACCCTTAGCACAGTGCTGTCTGATTCAGCGCTACCACGAAGAGTTCTTCATAATTATACAGCGAGAGATGCATCAACAGGTATTTTGTATACTGTGTGCACACACAAACACATAAGATTTGCAGAGATATGTACAGTCATACTTGAGTTTGCATGCTAGAAACATCAGTTATGAAGTTATATTTCAATAAACTAATGTTTTGTGAAGTTACGCCACTGTCAGCTTAATTGTGAACTAAGCTTTGTGTGATTTGGTCATCTAAGGCCAAATGTTTTTAGATTCATTTTTACCAATAATGAATAAAATTTAAAGGATAAAGGATTATGCGGGGTTATTATAGTTAACTGAAACCATTACAAAATGTTAGTTGAAATAAATGTTTAAATAAAAATAAAAAACGCTGAAAGAAAATATTGAAAAAAAGTAACATTACATAGTGTAAATAGAATCTATAACTATTTGCACTTAGTGTAAATAGCATATCGCTAAGAAAATACTGCTATTTTCACTTAGTGTAAATAGCATCTAACTAAGATTAATAAATGCTGTAAAAGTATTGTTCATTCTTAGTTCATGTTAACTAGGCTAATGTTAACTAATGAAATATTATTGTAAAGTGTTTCCAAAATATTGTTCAAATTGTTACTGCCTTTAAATATTATTTTGGAATAATTTTAAACCACACAATTGAATATAATAGTATACTATAATAAACTATAATAGTATCTCAATGATGCTAAAATAACATTGGGAGTATCCAAAAACCAGTGGTCAATTTAATGGTTAGACATTTAAATTAATGATTTAATGAGGCTTTGGAAGCTTTGAGTAGGAGACCCCAAAGTTGAACAGTAAACTATTCAAAATCATCTATACAGTCCTTTAGGTTGCTTTAGACTGCCAAGCAAAGAAAAATCAAAAATCTGTCACAACAAAAACACTGGAGCTATTCACCTTCAGTGCTTGGCCCATAATTGTAAGTTTCATATTAATGCGTTGTGCAATGTACCTTTCTGTGTTTGTTTGTGTTGTAGAATATTGTGGGTGTCTTAATGGTGGCTGGTGCCAGGAAGAAGGACGCTGTGATTGTGCTCAGTTCCAGGGTCTCGGGGATCGCTGTCAAATCAGTAAGAAGCACACACTGAAGTTATATTAAATTCAAAATGAAACTTGTCTCCATGTAATTATAGTAAGGTACGGTCTGATATTATCATCTGCCACCCAGTGCTGACCATTAAATGTGGATGAAGGAACCCTGAATTTAATTACTGCACTAGAATTCAAGTGGCATTACTCACTGGTTCCAGTTAATCTACGTGACTATGTTTTACTGCATTTGGTAGCATTGGATTACAGATGTTCTGGGAATAGATGGCTGGTTACAAAGAGCTCTGTATGTGTGTTTAATTAACCACTCACTATAAAGCTAGGCAGCTGGTATGACCAACAGAATAACAGGTTACTACGTATACAGTATTTATATAAGCTATACTGATTACATGCCCAACGGGGCATAGATTACATGGGGCACAAATATTGAATTAAATGGTTGAATAACCAAAAAATATTTGTTTCCACGAAAATATTAAGCACAGCGTTTTTCATCATTGATAATAATCAGAAATGTTTCTTGACCAGCAAAATCAGCATATTAGAATGATTTCTAAAGGATCATGTGACACTGAAGACTGGAGTTATGGCTTCTAAAAATTCAGCTTTGTCATCACAGAATAAATTACATTTTAAAATATATTCAAATTTCATAGAATAATACATTTCATAGTATTACTATTTATACTGTATTTCTGATCAAACAGATGATGTAAACGAGTAAACGAGTCTTCTCCAAAACGGTGCACATATTTGTAACCATTCAGTTCCATAATTCTATAGTATTACAAGGACCTACCAACCACAATAGTTTTTTTGTATAGGAGATTTTTGTCTTTTTTTGTGTCAGTTCCCAACCATGGTCAGGACAGGGATGGGATTTGCCGTTCATGGGGTCAGCATCATTTTGAGACCTTTGATGGAATGTATTACTACTTCCCTGGAACCTGTTCGTATATCCTGGCCAAAGACTGCCATTCCACAGAGCCCCAGTATACAGTGTGGGTAAGTTACAGCTGCGCCAGGTCTGTTTGCTATATATGTTTTTCTTTTGATACCTGCATTGCTACTTGATTTCTCTTTGGCAGTTTCATAACAGTCGTTCATGTAGAGCTTCAGTGTATTCATGTCCACGTGGTCTGAGTCTGTTCTTCCCAAATGAAGAGGAAATCTATATTAGTGGTTATCAGGTGCTAAAGGGAGGACATAGGTGAGTTTGGACATTTTATTAATATTAAATTGATACTTTTATTTAGCAAGGATGCATTAAATTACTCAAAAGTGATAGTAAAGACATTTATATAATGTTACAAATGATTTCTAAAATAAATGCTGTTCTTTTAGTCTTCCTGTTCTTTAAAGAATCATGAAAAACTCAAAACTTAGTTTCCACAAAAATATTAACCAGCGCCTTTTTTTTTACATTGATAATAAGAAATATTTATTGAGCAGCAAATCGGCATGATTAGAATGAGTTCTGAAGGATCATGTGACACTGAAGACTGGAGTAATGATGCTGAAAATTCAGCTTTTCATAACAGAAATAAATCACATTTCAAATATATTAAAATAGAAAACGGTTCTTTTAAATTATTATCATATTTCAGGGTATTACTGTTTTTGGTGTATTTTGGACTAAATAAATGCACCCTTAAGCGTAAGAGTCCTCTTTTTCGAAACCATTAAAAAGTCTTAACGACCCCAAACTTTTTGAACAGTAGTGAATCTTGGATGAATTAAACTACAGGTATTAAAGAAAAAAATATGCTGATGGGGAGATAAATCATTCGGTTTGATGTGTATGTTTTGTCAGAGAACATTCGAAACCTTGGCCACTTTTGGTATTAAATAGCTTTGAGGTCATGATAGCATGATGATGATATAATATCCAAAAAAGTCCCAGGCAACACATTTCAATATCAAACTTAATCAAATTCTTGTGTCTTTTGTCTGTTTCTTGTGCATTTATCAGACTGAGTCTGCCACAGACAGTGCGTAATGTTTTCATTGAGCGCTTGGCTGACTATATCCTGGTGAAGAGCACGTTTGGCTTCTCTCTGGCGTGGGACGGAAGCTCTGGAGTCTACCTCAAAATGACCGAAGCACACAAAGGAAGGCCTTGTGGTCTGTGTGGAAACTATAATGATGACGGATCGGATGATCTCAGCAGCAGCCGCGGTGAGACAAACAGGCCCAGACACACACTCATCATCTCAGTCAGCAGCAAATTCAGGACAATTATATCAAAGCTGAGCAGAGTTGGATACTCAGTCAATCCCACTGTTGTCTATTTAGAGATGAGTTGTAACATTTTAGGGGCAATTTAATTCTTAAACAGAATTTTATCATTTCTGTTGGAAAAAGTGTATTATGGTGTCCTTCATGCTTTGCATTTTGCACTATTAGGTATAGTCTCTGAAGACATTGCTGATTTTGGGAACAGCTGGGCAGTAGATTTGCCCCAAGAGAGACCCTGTCCTGAGGTTGATGATGATTTCCCTGGACCTTGCTCATCTGAGTCAGATATGGATGTACGCTTTCACGCACTGCATAATGGGTTTGAACTAAGCTAAATGGGTCTTAGAATGTATGATAGTTTAAAACAAGAGTTTTTAAGGTCAGAAAATATTTTTGATTATTCAACTTAAAATGTGTTTTAGCAACTTTGCCTGTTTGTGTGTTATCTGAGCAGGATGCCATTGAGAAGTGCAGCGCATTGCTTTTCTTTCCTTTCATCTCCTGCCATGAGAACATTGACCCAAATCCATTTGTCGCCAGCTGTGTTTCGGACATGTGTGTGTAAGTCAAGTGTGGTGCTTTTGTCTAAATGGTGTAACTGAAGTTGAACCCTGCTGAAAAAAACAAGCTAAAGGTGGATTGCTGATCTTAGCTGGATTAAGCGGTTCTATGGTCTCCCAGCCAGACCAAACTTGTGTTTAGCTGGTCAGTTTGCTTGTCTAAAAAATACTGTAAAACTATCTAAACTGACAGGCCTTACCAGATTTTGCTAGAGTGAGAGATCACCTTAGACTTGTTTGATAGACTTTTTCATCAGTTTTATTTAAAGAGTTTTTCAGTATTATTTATATAATAATATAGGATTTATTCATATTAATTTTCATTTTTCAATTACATTTTTAGACATTTTTAATATAAGTAATTTATTACGTTTTTTCATATTAATTACATTTATTTTTATTTCCATTTTAGTTTTAGTAATTTTAGTCCTTCAATTTCAACTTATTTAATTTCAGTTGCCAAATCAACATTTTTCTAAAGTAATGTTTGAATTTTATTTTATTTTATCTTTATTTTAGTTAATAAATTATTCAAATAAATGAATGACAACATTCATATTTTTAATAGTTTATTTTTAGTTAACAATAAGAACACTGATATCAAACTTCTTAAACCTTCTTTTAAATTTCAGCAATCATTGGATCACTGGAACTTTAAGGCCGGTTGTCTTAGAACTAAAATTAATTGGGAATTCTGTAATTTGATCTTTTGCAATTATTAGCTTAAAATGTGGGAACATGACTGTAGAAAATAAACAGTGAACTTAAAGTAAGATGACTAATTGTAGCATACTAACAGTATTAATATTAACCTTTGTGCTAATGTTAATGTTGAACATTTCTGTTTCTTACATTTAGGATTTTAATTAGAATAAGCATTTCTCTCTGTCCCTCTCCCTTCTTGAATATTTTTTTCCTCCCTAGCTTATTTCCAGCATTCCACACCTCCCAATTCCAACAGGATTATGTTAATTATAGTAATGAAAATACCTTGCATATGTCAAAAGCTGCAGAAAGAGTGTTTGTGAATATATGTAGCCTATATAGGTATGTGTGTGCATGCATGTGTTTGTGCTTGTACTAGAATTTGTAAGAGTTTGTGTGTGTGTGTGTGTGTGTGTGTGTGTATTGATTACAGTGATGAAATAGCTGCTGGTAGTTATGAACAGATTCAGACTCAACTGTTGATTGAAGAGGTAGTGAGAGGATCAGGTTGCAAGAGGATGTTGAACTTGCAGCTTTAGTGCTCTTACAGTCTCACATCACCATACTGAAAGAATTGACTTTTCCCCTATGTTCTTTCTTAGAACCATTTGTACTTTTGGCTGTTTAGTGCTTATTAACCTTTCTTTTTTTTTTTTATTATTATTATTTCTAGGTCAGATGATGAGGAGACATTTTGTCGGACTCTTGTTGAGTACACCAGGGCCTGTTCTCATGTGGGATACCCCGTCAGAGAGTGGAGGGACAGTTTTCCTACATGCGGTCAGTCGGCTTTCATGTCATAAAGGAAACGCATGTCATAAACTTTGCAGCTTGTGATGTAATATGTTTGTGTTTCAGCGGACAGATGTGAGGATAGTTTTGTCCACAGAGACTGTATCAGCTGCTGCCCACCTACATGCATGTTTGAGAAAGAGTGTTTGGGAACCAATCTACACTGTCTGGATGGATGCTACTGCCCAGATGGTACAGTAAGACCAATAATCAGATGCTTAAATGAGCATAAAAATCTTAATATTTGTGAATGTTTGCTATTATAAGGACTACACAAATAAGCAGTTTAGGGCACTTCAGAATGCATGTTGCAGTTATTTGTTGAACATTTTAACTTTGGTATGATTTTAGTGACTTCTTTTACTCATGGCTCTCTTTCTGTCTGGCTTTTCTCAGGTTTGATCTTACAGAATGGCACCTGTATAGCAGTGTCTCAGTGCCCCTGTGTGTACCATGGTACACCATATCCTCTTGGTCATGTATTGGAGCAGGGCTGCACTGTCTGGTTAGAAACATCAAATTTTTACTCTTTTACACCTAAAACACCAAACAAAACTTTCTTTATTTTTTTTTTACCTACAGTTAACCGTAGTAGCTAATTATAGAAAACGGTTCCATAACAAATGAACTTCTCATGTGTTAAATTCATGAATCATTTAAATCAATTAATGAATTAATATAATGTGAATTACATTTTCAGTGTCTGTATGGGAGGAGTGTGGAACTGCACAGAGAATAATTGCACTGGTAAATAAAAACTTTGTATACCCCAGTTTTACAGAATACCACATCAAAACAGGCATCTTTGTATTTTTAGTATAACACAACTTCTAAGTTATTTTTACCACAATGTTTTGATATAGCTTTCTACTGAGACATTTGCGTTCACCAAAGAAACTTTCTTTGCATGTGAATGTTTTTTTTGTTTTTTTTGTGCAAATGCAAAAGTTTTACGAGCAAGCAGAAACTCAACTTTTGTGAGCAAACGCAAAAACGCAAAAACATTAAAATATTATTTTTCCTCCCATCTCATATTTTTGTCATCACCATCTTCCCTTTGGGGCTGCATAACTTAAAAAGTAAGTGTGTTGTCAAAAATGATTTTGGAATTAAATTATAATTTTTTTAACCTCCAGCGGAATGCACAGTAATGGGTGACGCACATGTGACCACTTTTGATGGGCGGATTTTCATGCACATGGGCTCTTGCCAGTATGTGCTAGTGAAGAGCCGCAGCAGCACCAAGTTTACTGTGACACTACTGTACACAGCCTGTGGAGAGGTAAGAAGTATGTTTCTGGGTATGTTTGGCATCAAGATGTTTTGTTTGTGTTTAATGGAGTCTCTCGTCTCTCAGTCTCAGGAGCACTCTTGCATCCACTCAGTGGCTCTGGTGGTGGATGAAGATGTCAGCAGGCAGGTCACTCTCACCAGAGAGGGGGAAGTTGTTATTGGGGCCAGTATGGCTGTCAATTTGCCTTACTCAGATGGTAAAGTTCTCAGTTTTACATCAGTATTGGGCCACTTTAATAGTAAATGTATTCAAAATGAATAGGCAGCCTATTAATTTTGATGAAAGCAAAACTGTGAGGGTCAGTTCTAGATCATATCTAATTTTCAAATTTTTACTAAAGTCCATTATCTTTTATTTCACATTTCTAGGTTCAGTTCTGAACGTAGAAATGCAGTAATACATATATGTTCAGTTAGTTAAAAATGCTTATAAATAGTAAGATTAAGTAATAATAGTAGAAAAATAATAGAGATATAATTAAGAATAGTAAAAAGCTATAAGTAGAGCAATAAATAAAAAAATAAGCAAAAATGTTACTTTTTACACATTACTTAACATTATGTTACTTGAACATATATTGGATTAAATAAATTGTATTTCCCTTTTGTTTTTGTTTGTTAGACATGGTGAACATTCGCCGGCTGACATCTTTGTTTGTGGGTCTGCGGTCTGTCTTTGGCCTGAGGTTTCAGTATGATTGGCAGGGTGGACGAATCTACCTTCAGCTAGACAGCACCTGGATGGGCTCCACACTCGGCCTATGTGGGACCCTCAATGGAAACCTACGGGATGATTTCCTGTGAGAAATGGAGGCTGGTCCTCTGAATTTACATTTAGTAATTTATAGAAAATAATAGAATAATAATAGAATAATAGTAATAATTAATAATGATATAGTATATATTATTAAATGATTATTATTATTATTATATAGTAATAATTTATAGTAATAATCACAATAGAATTTCTTTCAGCAAAACATTTTAAATGTCTTTCAATAACTTTTTGGTTTGCATTATGCAGTCTCTTTTATTAACATGAGTGTGTGCTTGACATGAGTAGGTTCGATTCCCAGGGAGTGCATGAACTCATAAAATGTATGACGCCGTGACTGAGTGTGGAATCATGGGAGTTGTCGTCTTCATCCCCACAGCCGATGCAATCCGACGGGACTCAGGCAGAAATCATGTTCATGGATGAGGCTGAAAGCCATCGAAGCGAAACGAGGCCGCTGAACAAGCGTGACACACGGCTCGAAAGCAGCGGAGCTTTTATTATGCCACAGTCGACCGCTTCTGCTGCTTCAGGTTATGCGTATGTGGGGTAAAGCAGCGCTGTTTTATCATACTAGATACATTTGAAAATTCTGTTATAATGCTACTCTGTGCGGTCGTCACGGGTCTATTAAAACGCATAACATATTAAAGCGTCTTTGGTGTTTCCATGTTTTCTACAAAACAAAACTGGAAATCGAGGGTGTATGATGTCATTGGCAGGCGACACAATGACACTATGGACACAATCCGTGTCACTAGTTAAAATTGCTTATTTCTCTGGATTTAAACATTCTTCGAAACATTTGGGATAATGTA